TGCTGGACGAGATGGTGGCGGGGCTGTGGCGCGAGTCTGGGGACGCCTTGTCCGGTCGCGCGCTGTCCCGGGCCCGGCCGCTGGGCTCGGCCCCGAAGAGGTGCGGCTTGAGGGAGGCCGGGCTGCCCTTGTCGCGGCTGGGCTCCTCCGACGTGGTGGTGGAGATCTTGGCCGCGTCGCAAGTCTCCGGGACGAGCTCCTCCTTGCTCTCGGCCTCGGCGTCGCTCTCGGCTTCGCTGGGACACAGGTCTAGAAGCCCGGGAGGAAGGGTTAGCTTGGCCTGGGCCATCGGGAGTCTGCTCCCACGTGAGAACCCAGCTCGACCTCCTATTGGCTGCATAACCAGAGCGAGCCCCTCAAGCCGCTCCAAACCTCAGTTTTCTCATCTGCAGAATGGCCCCAAGGACACTTTACACCTTTACTCTCAGATTCATTTAAGTTCATGGTGAATTCAAAGCATTGACACCCATCTTAACCTCTCTCATGCTGAATTCCTGCAAATCGGTGGCCCTTATTATAATGACCTCACTTTTCCTTAAATCAAGCATCTACTGAGTTCCTGCTGTGTTACTGGGAGGCTGTACCCATTTGATTGCAAATTGACTTTTTAAAAATAAAAAAACTCGGAAGATTTCCGCTGGAAGTTGCTCTAAAGATCACTGCAGGGACACATTCCAGTTGCTATCAGGATCTTTCTTCAGTGAATGACCAAGATCAGCACCTTCCACCAATTTGTGGGTTATTCTGGAAGGATCCGTTTGCAAAGAATCCCGACATCTGAATTGGCAGTGTCAGGAGCAAGCACCCCAACCCAATGGCCCTGCTCTAGGGGGACTTCTGGGTGGGTGTCCCCCCTCCCTACAGAGGTGGTGGCGGGAGCGCAGGGCATCACACAATGTTTTGCCTCTGTGGGTGCCCTATCAGGAAAAAAAAGGGGGGATCCTCTTTTCTGTTTAAAGATTTAGTGGATTGCCGGGCGTGATGGCGCACGCCTGTAATCCCAGCACTCGGCAGGCTGAGGCAGGAGGATCCTTGCAAGTTCAAGACCAGCTTGGGCTACAAAGTCAGCTCAAGGCCAGCCTGAACTGCGTAGTAAGACCCTGTCTCAAAAAAGACAAAAAAAAAAAAAAAAAAAAAAAGAAGAAGAAAAGAGATTCTGTGGATTGAAGACCTAAAGGGTTCTCGCTTTATTTCACTGAGAAACAGGTTTCTTCCCGAGGAGTGTACCTTCCAAATAAACAGTGTCCTGCTCTTCAGACAGGGATCCCCCGAGGCTCTGTACCATCTCTTCCACCCACTCTGCCCCCACCCACCCGTTTCCCGGGTCAACTGCGGCTCTCTGGTTGGTGTCTCAGCCACGTCCCCTGCTCCTGGTGGCTGAGAATCCCTCCCAAGCCCCGGAGGTGAAGCCAGCAGTTGCAGGTGGTCTTGGTTGGGGGAGGGGCGCAGGTACAGAAACCGGACAAGGAAAAAAGCAGGGGCCGCTTTAGGCGACTTTCCAAGCTAATCCTGCCAAGAGGCCGCCCCCCCCCACACACTCCTCAAATGAGGATTTGGGAGGAGGTTCCAAGCTCCCCCATGCTCTTTAGGAAGGCCAGACACACCTGATACCCCCTTCAACCTCTGGCTCCCGTGTATACAGCAAGAAGAGGCTGCAGCTTCTAGGGCCAGTCCTGCTCAGTGCCTCCCCTGCCCCCAGCACATCCAGGCTGGGGTGACCTGGGTCTTGGCAGGGCAAAGGTGGCCGGGCTCACCTTTGAGGTTGGAGGTCCCTACAGTGGACACGGCTGGCGAAGAGGCCTGGGCAAAGCAGCTGAAGGTCGCGTGTTCGCTGGAGGACTCGTCTGAGGTCCCATTCTCCTTCTTGTGTCGCTCATCAAACACTCGAATGGACTGTAGGGTGAGCTGCTTCCTGCGGCAGAAGCCCACACCCCGCGTTACAGGGGTGTGACAGACACAGCCCTCTTAGGGTGCCCTGCCCTTTCCAAAACTGATCCACAGCTCGCCACTTACTTTTTTAAATCTGCTTGCCCGGGGGCAGACACACAGGGCCTGGCATTATTCTGGAGCCCCTAACTGGGCCAAAGAGTGTGGTGCTAGGGCACAGAGGTGGAAGGTTTCAGCTGCCTTAATTCGAGATTGAGTTATTAGGAAGGGTCTTTGGCTTGGGCTGTGAAATTTTGTCTAGCACAGGAGGAAGAAGAGAAGCTGGAGTTGGCTAGAGACAGAGCTGAACTGCAGGGCGTACAGGGGGACGAACTGGGAGTCCAAGCTCGTGAACACCCCGAAGCCTGTCCGCCCGCAGCCTGTTCTTTCCCATGTCCAAGTGCTTTCTCTACCTACATCTATGACCTCTGAGGAAACTAAGCAGGCTACACTATAGTTGTATAGATGGTCTGTAAGGTTAGGCGGAAGTGGTTATTTCATGGTGCTCTATGGCAATCAGGTTACCAACACACTAACTGGAATTCAAATTTATTGAGATGTTAGCAATTATTTCATGTTCACCCTTCCCCGTCTAGGGGACAGGCTACAAATTTGGGGTAACTGTCTGGATTTGAGTAGAAAAAGCTGAACGGGGATGGGGGAGGGGTGAGCCTCTCCTATAGCTCTCCAGCTGGCTACTTAATGCAAGATGATACTGGACCTATGGAGGGAGGGAGCCTGAGACTCCTCAAGGGGCCCCCACTCTGTCTGATGGTATCTGGGAGACAAGACTGCAACAATTCCAAAGTATTTTTGTGAATGGCATGGTCTCCTAGAACCTTCCCCAGCAGGAACTTAAATTAATTAACAATTAATAGGTATCCCTGTGGGATCTGTTATCCCCACTACCTTTCTTCCAGAGACAACTGTAGTGTAGCCTGGTTAGTTTCCTCAGAGGTCATAGATGTAGGGAGAGAAAGTATTTGGACATGGTCAAGAACAGAGCAAAGGGGAAGTAAATCGCTTTCCACCCACTCTGAGTGTGCTCGCCTCCCTCTGCGAATACTTGCAAGTTAACTTCTAGACAAGTGGTTTGTTTTATAAATTGTCGGAGAAGTGACTAATTGTCCCGACTCACCTTTTTTCTCTCCTGCCATTTCCAGTGTCCCGAAAACCTTTTGCAAACGGGTTGTTGTCTATTTTTAACTGAGTTATCTAGAGGAGAAGACACAAGCAAGAAAGTCACATTGGCTTTACTCTCTAGAATGTTTTTTGGGGGAATTCCCCCAGCACAAAGGTCTCCCACGGATGTTACAAGGTTAGGGAGACAGGGAGGGGAGACCAAGGCAGAAGTCCGGAGGCTACAGGGAAAACCACCCCAAAGAACTGTATGTACTAGGGTTTGCAGGACCCAGAGCAGGTCAAGCCAAAGGTTCAGGTCTGAAGTTGTCCAAAGCAAAGAGTTTCAAGTATACAGCCTGCGTTTAGAAATGGCAATGTCCTCAAAGTTGTCAAGAAAGACAACTGTAAGATTTGAAAATTACGATTTAATTGATTTTTTACATAGTGCAATTAATTATAAAATGCTAACACTTCCCTGCCTTCAAATACGTGCACGCGCTCACACACATGCACGCATACACCCAGCATACACTCTATCCAACCTTTTCCATGGCTCTAATAAAATGATTTATGGGGTTTTGCTACCCTCGCGCTGGAGCGATTTTGATTTTTTTTTTAAGGGGGGGGAGGAGCAGTGGTGGTTTGAGGAATTACAATATTGGCAACTACAGATTTAAAAGCACTGAATGACCACGGAAACATTTGTTTTCATTTATGTGTTCTGCCACTGCATTAGGTGGAGAAGGCCCTTGGCCTTTTGGTCTGATCAGAAATGCTCCATTTTATTATTACATTCACAACTTAGTTTCACAGGGTCCTGAGGCGAGCGGGGTAGCCTGCATTTTGCCAGCTGAGGGAAACGTCATAGCACGAAACCTTCTAAACCCCTTCCCTGTGGGAAGGGGGACTTACACATACGCAGTTACTGGGGGTGGCCAAAAGCCCCTTGCTTGGTTAGATTCTTGTTTTTGGAAAAAAGTACCGGACGCAAAAATTCTGGTTTTGCATTTGGCAAGATTTGGCAAAGCGGTGAGATCTCAGCAGTCCCCCCATTTAAGATTTATCTGGAACCTCACTATAAAAGTTTACAGAGACCCTCAGGCAATGACCATGGTCAATCTAACAAGGCGTGGTCAGGCGAAATGGACTCTTGCTGAAGGCCAAGACTCAGGAGCTGAAGATCAGAGTCCTCAGCCTTCCCCCACCCCCATCGCTGCCCTTCCCCAAGTCCCCCGGTGGGCACTGGGAATGGTGACTCGCCAGCAAGGGCTGCCCTCTCTGCCTGGGTACTCAGTGCCCATGGCCTTCAAGGTCAGCAGACCTGGAGATCCTAGGTGCTGCCCCATTTGGGGTCCCTTGGAGCCCCGAGGTTCAGGCCCAAAGGGAGGAAAACTTCCCCAGGAAGTAGCACCTTTGGCTACGTCCAGTGAAGTCAGAAGCTTCAGACGACTTGATTAGTATGACCTGTGGTCAGGGTAGGTTTTTTTCCATCACACACACACACACTCATCCACGCACATGCACACACATGTACACGCGTACACACACACACACACACACCATAAAAAAACAGAGCAGTATAAAAGGTAATAAAAACCAGACCAGCTCCTCAGGATTTCTGGCTAGGGAAGAAAAGCTGGTCTCTCTACTAGGATTTTCCCGCCAGGACCCCAAAAGGCTTTTGCCTAAAATTCTTAGCTGCTTCCTTTCAAACCTGCTATCCTGACGCTTCCCCCTAAAGGGCAAAAGAATGGACATTGAAACAAAAATGAAGAAGCCCTAGGAGTCTGCTGTTGGACTGGTATCTCCAGCAGGGTCTGCAAGAGCTTCTCACTGACAGAATCAATTTAGCATGTTTAAACTCAGCACTGGATTCCTAGCCAGTTGAGAGTTTTGTCTCTGGCTCCTCGGAGAAGCCAGTGCCCCTTTCCCAAATGTTCTACGGAAGGTCAAATCACGAAGGAGAAAAATCAAGCCTGAAAACCCAGTTCCCTTCAACTTTCTCACCCTGATCCAAAGCAGCTTAAAGGGCTAGGGGAAATGGCAGAATTAAAAAGAAAAGGCCCTGAGGTTACCTTATCATTCTGGTATGCAGTCACAGCGATGAATTCAGTTTCAGGGAATAAGTAGGTCCGAAATGTACTATAAGGGAGTTTCAAGATGTCGTTGGCTCTTACAATGTGGAACCGGGGCTGGTATTTATGCATGGAGTTCAGTATAGTCTGCAGGGGCAGGGGAGAGGAGACACACTGAGAAAAAGGGTTTTCCAGGACAAACGGGATCTGAGGACCCCTGCCAAGCTGACATCCTCCCCACCACAGGGTACCACGCTGGGATGAGCCCACCTCCGAAGGGTAACTCCTTGGGTACAATTTGCTCTGTAGATGTTATCTCCTGGGGAATCCAAATTGCTCCTCAACTTCCCAAGGGTGCCCCCCCCCATCTAAAAGGTTCATTCATATCTCAAACCCTAGCCTACCTGAGTCCCAAAACTATAATTCCCCTGCCATGCTGCGTGGTCACTTGGCCAATTCTTAAAAGATAGAGAAAAACATGCATTTTAATTTACAAAATGATTCAGTACTTTAAGCGTCCACTAATTGACGAGCCCAATCCAAAAGCTGAACTCTAGAGAGGAATATGTATGCTGTAATCAAATTAAGGACTTCAAATGCAATTCCTGCCTGCTGAAGATATTTCCGAGCCATTCACGTCTTCCTGGGCCTAATCTTTCTGCTTATTCCTTGCTTATCACTTTGTTTATTGTACTGAAATGTTGGGGAGGGGTAACGACGGGCCAAAAGGTCCTTTGCCTGACTTTTACTAGCAACTGAAGTCTTCTGAGAGTTCTAGGCACTCTCACACCGAATCCACGGATACAATCCCAACCCACACACCATTTTTAATACCGAAGATCTATGCCTCAAGTCTAGTAAATCTAACTCTGCCAAGCCTAATTCTCTTTTAGTAAAAGAAAATAAAATTTCAATTAGGTATTTATACCCTTTCACCAACACGGCCAAGGCTTTGAAAACTTAAGCTCCCCCAAGAAATAATACAGCAGGCTTCAAAGAGAAGTATAATGTTCTAAAGCAAAACAAAGCCTTTACAAACACATAGCTTTCAAAGCAATTTTAACTCTCAATTATTATCATTGTTTTTAAACACCATCGGTCGGTCCAGTATCTACCAAGGACCCAGAATTGCTATAGAACACAGCCTAGTACATTTTCCTGGCCCCATTTCTTTTAGATCGCCAGGCCTTCCACTCTCCAGAGAGAAAACACCCCAGAATCCTCTCTCCAGCTCCGTGGCAAATCGAACAAGTTTGCTATGTTTAGCAACAGCAAGCCAGGGAGAAGTCTAGGCCGAAACTCAACCCCGGAGTTTACAGGGAATGGGGGTGCACGGCTTGGGGAGAGTCAAGAAATACATTTTGACTGAAGAGAGAAGAGAGCTAGCACAAGGAAACTTACAAATCCATGTTTGTCGGAAATGTTGTTGGTGAGCTTCAGTTTGTGGAAGGTGACCACTTTAGACATCCACTGTTCCCCGGTAGCGGGGCTGTCCGGGTGAATATACATTCTCTTTGGCATTTCAGGGTCAGCCTTACCCGCCACCATCCACCGCGAATTGTGAAATTTATATCGGCAGTCATCAGCAGCTATAATGTCCATTAGTAAAATATATTTGGCCTTTTTATCCAGTCCAGAGCATCTCACTTTAAATGGAGGGAACATTCGCCTACAACAGGAAAGAGTAGAACAGAAAAAGAGAAAAAAAGAAATCCCTCAGTCTCTGGAGTTCCACTTCTTATCTATTCTAAAATATTTAAACAAAGTTTAAGACTTTCTATTGGTACTGAGGAGCTCAGATTTGGTCAGAGTAGGGCAACTGGGGGCAAAACTATTTTCTTCCACGCAGCAGTAAACAGAACCAATTCCTGTCTATTTGGGTATCCCGAGATTCAAAGCAAGGAATTATGACACCACGCTTCTCGAGACTGTCTGCGGACTTGTTTAATTTTTATCCTCTGTGTGACTGTACACATTGCCCTCTGTACAGAGAAATTCTTATCTGTGTCTCAGTGTGTGTTTATTTCTGAACAGCTTTGGGTAAGATTTCAGCAAAGTGCAGATCAGTCGAGGCAAGGGTTTTCTACCCACCCACTGATGAGAAAAACGTTAAACTCATTAAGGAAATAAACATCCGAAGTTGCACCCCTCCCTGCTACCGAATGGTGATCCCGCTGCTGGCGAAATGGAATTGGCCTTGAGCGAGGGCTCAGGATGAAATGGATCAGCGTGGACTCCCGGCCGGAGAACCCCAGCGCTTACTGAGATAGGAGCCAAATTCCCCCATTGCCTAGGCCTACCCCAAACTGCACGATCATGCCACCTAACTGCTGTTGACTTTCACGGGAGTGTTGGCATTCTGTACTTTTGACTTAAAAGGAAGCACTTCGCTGTGAAAACTCACTAAACGTCTTGTGGGTTTGAGGAAGAGTTTATGCCAAACTTTGGCCTCCTTTAGCTTGGAAGGAGAGGAGAAAGCTGAAGACATCAAGAGGGAACTTTATTTTTAACCTTTCAACTTGATCCCTTGATAAACCTCAATGCTATAAAAAAAAAAAATTAGTGATCCTGAATGACGGCCTGGGTTTCTGTCTTCTAGGCAGGATTGGGTCAAGCCAGGAGCTCTAAATGGTGTGTAAAATATGATTTATAATATGCACGCGCACAAAGCAGCTTGCACAGCCTAACTGGCTTCTTAGGTCTGCAAAGAGAATCTTAATTATCCAAAATTGCCTGCTGAACTCCCCCTCGGGTTACAGACACTTGAAGTTGTGTGGTCCAACAAACCCCAACACTCTTCCACTTTCTCTGACTCCTGAAGTGCAGGAGCAGGTCCCCTCCAGCCCCAGAGGCCGGAGGAGAGGGCAGCAGGGCGGGGGACATTCCCCGGCCTCCTACTACTACACAAAAGGAAGGGGATTTCAGCTTTTCTCCTGGAGAGGAAAATACAAGCTGATTTAAAAGGGAAAAAAAAAAATCCCCACCGAAATAAGGGTGTTCCAGAAAGGTTTGAGGAGCGAGCGACCTTCCTGCAATGAGGAGGTTTTCCTGCTTCCTAAAAGGATGTCTGGATTCTACTGAAAAATCCCATCTGTTCCTCAGGGAGCCCAGGATGCAGACCTAGGGAAGAGCCGAGCAGGCGCCCAGGTAAGCTGAAACTTCCTGTCGCTGGGACAGGGCCCCAGAGTCCATACACATTTTCAAGGGAACTAAGTTTTCGACCAAGCTTTAACAACCGGCAGAGCAGCGGCTCCGGGAAGAGAGGTGAAACTAGGGAGGAAAATCCTCAGCTAGCTCGGGGGGAGGAGGCTCCCAGCGCGGGCTTACCTGCCGGACTTGGTAATGACCATCTCCGTGCCTCGCTTGTGGAACTGATCCCAAAGTTCCTTGGCCTCCAGGTGCACCTTGGGGTCATCCTCCACCTCTTCTTCGGGCTCCATGGCCTTCAGAGGCCTCAGAGGAGCCTGGGGCCCCAGGGAAGAGAAAGGAATGCCGGTCTCGGCCGCCCCCACCAATTGATCCATGATCGGCTTGGCCAGGGCGCCGGGCAGCGACAGCGCCGTGGCGCCGTTGGGAGGCAGCGTCAGCGCGGGGAAGAAGGGCGGCTGGTGGCCCAGCACCGCGCTCATGGCGAAGTCCGGCGCCCGGTGGGGTAGGAACGGATGGTAGGCCATACTCGTCCCAGGAATGACCGGATCTCTCATGGAGAGGCTCATCCACTCCAGGCAGGCACAAGTCCGCAGCTGTTGTCTCGTGTTTGCTTTTGTTTTTGTTTTTTTTTTCAGCAGCAGCACATATTTTTTTTAAAAGCGGAAAAAAAAAAAACCAAAACAAAACAAAAAGGAAGAAATAACTAAAGCGCTTCAGAGGAAGGGAGGATAGCGTCTTTTGGGGAGGGGGGCGGCCGCTCCTTAAAGAGGGCAAGGCGACAAATCGGGAGACATAGTCGCTGGGCGGCTGTCGCGGAGCCTGGCGTGTTTAGAAAGCCGCCCGTGGAAGTCGCTTTCGGAAGCTCGCGCCGGAGCCCAGCCGCGGAGCTCGGGGCGGACACAGCAGCCCTCGGCCCCCGATCGCTCCCCAGCCCCCAAAGTCTTTGTTGCACACGCGAGCGGTTCTCCTGGAAGACTTTTTACCTTTCCTTCTTCTTTTTCTTCTTCTTCTTCCCCCGCCCCCTTATCTCTTCCTCTCCCTTTCTGGCTGGAGGCGGCTGCCAACGCGCTGGACTCGGCTTCAGCCAGGGAGCAAGAGAGCAGAAAAACTCTCTTCCTTAAGAAAAACAACAACACAAGCGGATTTAAGCCCCTTCCAACCAGCGCTATCAGAACTCGCACTGCATGCACACTGGCTTCCGTCCGCCCTCCTCCTCCTTCCTCCGCTCCGGCTCCGAGCTGCGGAGAGGGCGTCTCGGTTTCAATCCCAATCTCGCCGCGCGCCTCTGCCGGGTCTCCGCGCTCTCTGCCTTGTCTGAAACCGTGAGCGAATTCGCTTCGCAAAGCTGCGTCCGGGCGCGCGGGGCAGGGAGGATCGAGAGGGGAGAGCCGCAAAGGAGGGAAGAGAGCGGAGGGAGAGCGGAGAGGGAGCCGGAGCAGCGAGGAGAGGGAGGGCGCGAGGGAGGGCGCGGAGAGGCGAGCGCGAGCTCCTCGCCACCCTCCTCCGCCTCTAGAATTCCCCCGGCGTCTGCTCGGCGGCTCTAGAAGGTCGGGCTGCGCTGTGGGCTGCGGGGAGCCGGAGGCCTCTTGATTGGCTCTTTGACGCTTTCGGACCAATTGTGTGGCTGCATAGGCGTGGTTATCACAGGTCGAGTGCTGGGGGATAGAGCTGAGTTATAAAAAGAAGGTGTCGGAAACTGTAACGTCGCAGCGCCGCAGCGGTACTACTGCCCGTCCTGTGAATATGTCAACATGATCCGGGGAGGGCGGGCGCCACCGCGGAGCGCGCGCGCAGAGTCGCCTCTAGGTGGCTTATCGAGAGATCGCCGTAGCCCGTGAGCTCGCTGGCTCTCGCTCTGGCTCAGCCCACGTCTGAAATGCCTCAGTCACCCAGCCCGGGATCGAGGGAGGAGGCAGGGCCAGGAGGAGGAAGGGGGAGGGAAAGAGACAGAGAGGGAGGGAGGGAGAGAGGGAGGCGGCCTGCGGGCCCGGAGAGCCGGGCGGAGCGCGCGCCGGGGCGCCGGGCAGGGGCGCTCGCCTCTTGCGCGCTCGGCTCACCGCTGAGCTGAGCCGAGCCGCGGCCGCTTCTCGGCGGCTCGGCCTCTTCTCGTCGTCGACCCCCGGCGAGCCGAGCGGGCGGCGGAGCCTCCAGCGAGCTGCCATTCCGCTGCCGCGCGCCCCCGAAGCCGGCGGCCGCGGAGACGCGGAGACTCCGGCCGCTCTCCGGTCCCACGTGGAGCCGAGCTCCGCCCGGCCGCGGCTAAGTAAAGGTCCCCGCGCTCGTGCGCCTCGGTGCGGCCCTCCCTCCAGCCGGGCTGGCGGAACGCGAGCGCATGGATGCGGCCAGATCTCGGCACGCGAGTGTGCCGGCCCCCTCTCCGCCGTGCCCCACCCGCGGCCAGGTGCGGAGACCCCGAAGCCCCCAGTGCGTTGTACCCGAACGCGCGCCACACACCGGGGCCGAGCCACACGTACAAGCAGATACGTACACAGCCCTCGCGCCAGGCCCTGTCTGCGCTCCCTGTGGGAGATGGACTCGGGATATTTTGAAACGCGTTTACCGACCCTTTTATATCTCATCTTTCGCGTAGATGCGGGCTCCCGGTATTCCACCCGGATGTCTGTGAGGGTGTAGAGGGGAGAATGGAGGCTCTGGACAAAGTGATTGCAGCGACCGACGAGGTCCTGGCCTGTCCATTCCACGCCACTGCCTTCACCTCGGGGGCCGGCACGGTGTGGCGCTGCGGGCAAGGGGTGGGCGAGCTGGGGGGGGGGGCTCCAGCCGGTATCTCCTCCAGGCATCGCACTTATCTTTCGGAGCCTCAGTTCTTTCTCCACGGGCACTTATCTCGCTAGAAGTCGGGGGTGAATTTGTAAAACAAACCGTGAAACGCCCCCACCCCAGAGGCAAAGGCACTGCTCCAGTTCAGGAAGGGTAGGGGCCTCCGCCCAGGGCGGAGGGGAGGGAGGCCAGCGACCTCTCTGATCAGACCTGTCGCCGCACTGATAACCTTGTTGCTGCAGCTCCTGCCTACCGGGGCTGGAGGCCTCCCCCAAACCCCCAGTTCTGGCTTCTGGCGTGGGGGTGGGAACGAGGAGTTAGGCTGTCCGGGTTTAGATGGAGGGAGATCTTGAGGGTCAGTGCTTTTTACTCTTCCTGACACAGAGCTTACTGGAGTGGAAAGGGGACGGAGGAAGGGCTGGGCTCCGGGCCTAGGGGGCTGAGACCCTCGGTGTGCGACGTCTGCGTCTACGGATCAGCTCTGTGCGCCAAAGCGTTTTATTCGGGTGCCCCCTGAACCACCGGCTCCCGCACCAAAGTGGCGGCTACTGTTGGGTAACAATGAGCTGCTGTTGAGAACCAAGTGCCCCGAGATAGAGGAAGAACTTTTGGGGCGACAGAGCTTTTCCAGCCTCGCATTTCTGCCGCACATGGTTAAGAGCGCTCTCTGGGCGCCAGCGCTGGGCGTCCTCTGAAGTCAGCAGAATAGCGGGCTGAGAACTTGGTCTCCCCTGTCCTTCCCCTTGGGTCTGTCCTCCCTGCCTGCGGTTGAGAAAGAGAAAGGGAGAGTGAAAAGAAAGAGGCGGGGAGGCCCGGAGTGCTGCCTCTCCGTCCCTCGCGTCCCCCATACTGAAGGGTGCCGCAGACCAGGCCTCGTCCTCCCCGTGCCGGCGGCGGAGGTCCCTGCGGGCCTGCGCGAATCTCCGAAGGCCCCGAGCGCCCCCCGGCCCACAGTGCTCGCTGCCGGCGGGCCTGGGGCCTCTGGCTGCGCTATCCAGATCGGCTCCAAATCCCTGTGATCTGGTTCTGTCTGCACTCGCCGGCCAATCTGCCCGCTGCGCCCGGTGGAAGGCAAGGAATTCTGCAATCACAACAGGACTGCCCCCTCCTCACCCACTCGGTGCCCCGAGGGCCTGCGTGCCGGGCGGAGAGACGGTCGTACCCGCTGCTCTGCATTCTGGCCGAGTCCTTTGAAAATGGGAGAGGGACTTGCCGAGTTTACTTGTAAATATCTCCACTTGCTTTTGGCTCCAACGTGGACCGAGAGCGCTTGCTGACCCGCACCCTTCCCCCCGCCCCACCGCCCACTTTTGTCCGCGGTTCTAACTTAACCCAGGGGTCACCCCAGTTCGCCACTTCTGGCCCCCACCCCCACTCCAGCGCTCGGGAGAGTGGGGGTGGGGAGAGGAAAGTTTGCGGGGTTCTGAATCGAAAATGTCGACATCTTGCTAATGGTCTGCAAACTTCCGCCAATTATGACTGACCTCCCAGACTCGGCCCCAGGAGGCTCGTATTATGCAGGGAGGCCGCCGTAATTCTGGGATCAAAAGCGGAAAGGTGCGAACTCCTCTTTGTCTCTGCGTGCCCGCCGCGCCCCCCTCCTGGTGGGTGATAAACCCACTCTGGCGCCGGCCGTGCGCTGGGTGATTAATTTGCGAACAAACAAAAGCGGCCTGGTGGCCACGGCATTCGGGTTAAATATTGGCCATCGCGTTCCTGAGGCTTGTGCCAGGCCAGGCTTCCGGCAGAGCCCGCGAGGCAATGTGCCCTGAGCCCTGGCTTTAGGCTCCAGCCGCTGGCTCTGCGCGCCCGGTCCTTTTTTTTTTTTTTTTTTCCCCTCTCTCGCTCTTTCTCTGCCCTTCATCTTCTTTCCCTTGGCCTCAGGCTCAAGAAGAGATACACAAGAAACATTGAAACTGTTGCTTCACACAGCCCAAGACGCCTGTGCCTGCAGGGGGAGAGAAGGATAGAAAGCAGTCCTGCATCTGGCTGGGAAAGAACCCCAAAAGTTTCCTACACCTTTCGCAAAAAAAAA